TCTCTTAACTCTAGCACTTTGAATTCCCATATGGAAATATCACTTTTCGAAGAAGGAAAAAATCAAACACATTTTCCTGTGCAGTCAATGATGGGTGAGGGAGGGGAAAGTGGAAGCAAGCAGGTCAGTAAGGGTCACGGGGCTTTTGAATTATTTTTCCCAGTGTAACAAAATTCTCCATTGCAGAGACTAAAGGTAAAAAAGACTCCGCATGGCTGAAGTCTGTAAATACCTACACTATGAAGGCAGCATGTTTTCCACTCCAGCCCGCAAGCTGTACTAAATAATTAACGATGTAAATTAGACTACCTTATTTATTAACAAGTCCAGAGTGGCTTATGTAACCACACTCCAAATTTAAATGCATATAAAGCACAATCTGAAGTTTCAGAAACCCCAGTGGAGGGGCTGAGAAATAAATATTACAGTAATAAAAACTGATGCGTGTCACTGAATCCTTATGAACACCAGGATTTTTTTTTAAGTATGATTAATTGCAGTGGCAGAGATTATTAAGATGAGAGGGCCAAAATCAATGTATTAACAGAATAACATTACAGCTATTTAACCAGGCCAACAATAAATTGTACATAGAGGCTCTGACAGTAAAAGCTGCAAATTCTCTTTATGCTGTGCTAAAAGGGAAAACATCAGACTTGTCTCCAGTAGTACCCCCAAATCAGAAAATACCACTCAAGAAATTCAGAAAAAGATCCTTCCTATTGGTTTTCATAAAAGGTCCCTATTGGTGCAATATAGACATGCATGCCTTTCCACAGCCATGTGAATACACTTAACACTACTGAGCTGCACAACTCAAAATGGTTAAGATGGGTAAATTTTATGTTATGTGTTTTTTATGATAGTTGAAAATAAAAATGCATGACTTATTTTGACCACGCCTTTTACTGCTTCGGTGAGACAAAACTTGTCCTTTGTAATGTACTTTGGTACTTGCCACACCTGGGACCTAAATGGTTACATAATTCCAACAACAAGCTTCACTCCTGAATACCACTTATATGTGACACTGGTATTATTTTTCATTTAATTTAGTATTGCCGTGCGTAATCATTTCCAAATAACAGGAGCTGCCACTTAGCAGTGCACTTTTGGGCACACATGATATATATCTACAGACAGAGAGACATAGGTCTGGATGTATCATATCTAGTGAATAAAGAGTATGAGACAGATACTGTGAAGAGAAGATTTTTAATAAAACAGGCTCAAACAATGACTCTGAAAACAAAATGTCAGCTGAGCTTAAAATATACATGTAAAAACAAAAAATATCCTATCTCCTAATTCATCTATACATGTGTTTTTAAAATGTTCTGCCACTGGCTCTCTATGAACCCTAAAGGCAAACTGATTTAATATTTAGATACTAAAATATACACTACTTTAAAATGATAAGGCAAACTTGTTTCAGCAAGATCTAATCACAGTTTATTTACTTATATTATTCCTATTTAAAAAAAATAGAATCATGTAACTTCAGCTACACACCATTAAACTAGAACTTTAAAACAGGTTATTTTAAGAATACCACTGGGTCTAATAACAAAGTAAAACAAGGTGTAATTCGGCTCCAACTGTAGCTGGTATCCACTGGCAAAGAATTTAAAAGCTGTTCAAGCAAATTTTAATATGTAAGGAAAGGAACACAGACGTGTCATATAAGGATGAGAGTGGAACAGTCTCTTCTACTGATGTTACTTTGAGATCAAAAAGCAGAATTCAAAATAATTGTGCAAAGTGCTTTCCAAACAAGCAATGTGATACATTTTACAGATAAAGACACTGAGGCACAAACTGGCTGCGCTTGAACATGCTGAGGGACAGAGCAGAGAAACATACCTTTCCTCAGAGCTCAGCTGTGTCCTGCTTGACTAATGTCACTAACTTAATTCCCTGGCCTGCACACTCAGCGGGACACACCTCTCAACTCCCCCAATCCCAATGGGTTTTCAAATCAAAAGGGAAAAAAAAAATAAGAATGAGAAATCAGTCGTGCCATGATAGAATAATTAACTGTGACAAATGCTCTAGTAAATATATTTTTTAAATCCATGTTTAAAAGCCTGAAAATAAGAACCTGCCATCAGATGTAAAAGCAACCACAGCAATTGTGAGGATACACAAAAGCTCTGCCTAAATCTATTGATTTCATAGATATCAGGCAGCTAAGCCCGCAAAGCTTTGAAATAATAACTTTTAAAATTTAAAGGTAGTTTTATTTTCTCTTTCACAGATGATGGCCTTAAACACATTAAAGGTTAAAAATTTAAAGTGAAAATAATCAGCCGTTTCTCATTTCTTTCTTCGTTTTACATTAATCATGGAATACACAATGTAAAAACCACCACCACCAAAAAAAAAAAAAAATCCCAATATCTAAGTACAAAGGCACTCCCCGTGGTCTCAAACAGTCCGAAGGGCTCTGAATTCCACATGGCCACCTCCCTCTGACTATTGCCACCGCACCTTATGAGAAAGGCCCCGGACACGTTGGACCACCCTGGCGAGCCCAGGCCAGCCCAGCCCAAGGCCAACACAGGCCTCCCTCTTTGGTCCAGGCTGCCACGCTCCTTGCCAAAGGTTGAGACCCAGGCAATCTGGACGCGGCACGTCTCAGCCATGCTAGGCCTGCACATTCCCCTCTGCCTTGCTCTGTTGTCATTCCCTTCTGCCCGAGCCCTACAGTGTGAGCATCGCCAGCAGAACAGGCAACGGAGACCAGAAAGGCCTCTTACTTACAGTAAAAAACAGGTTATCTCGGAACTACGCTGGCAGAAACATGGTTGTGTGTTCTGGGGGGCTGTGGGGGACGCATGAGCACTCGCCAGCCGGAAGGCCACACCCAAGCCCCTACTTTCAGGGCTGCCTATCTCAGTGCCAAACATGGGAAGGAAAACCGGGAGAAACTTTGCCTTACGATCCTTGACATGGATGAACAAAACCTCCTGTTCATGAAATGTCTGAAATGGCAAAGTCCCTAGGAAAAACATGACAAGAACACCTCCCGTAGAGGTGACACAGGACTGCTGGAGAAAAGACTGGTGAGCCCTTGTTTGGCCGTGTATTTGTCCCAAGTCATCAGAAGAGGACAGAAATACACAGTCAGCTTCTCCACCGAGCCAAGACAGGCTGTCACATTTCCAGGGACACAGGGGTCCAATGCTAAAGCCAGCATCCTTCAGAGCACTACACACTGCCTTATCATCCAACCTAGCCCTGGGAAATTATTCAATGGGCAATTAAGATTTCTAATACAAATGGCCTCAAAATCATATCTCTGGGAAGTCAAGTCCAAATTAAATCAGACCGGGCTTTTAGGCTCCCAGCGATCACATTTTCTCTTTTGAGCGAGTGCATTTCAACACTCGCAACTTCTCCTCTTACAGATCATTTTCAAGGCCTCTCTGGATGCAATCTCCTAAGCAAAATCTGATATGTAAAATGAAAAGGAAAATTGGTTAACTCCAAACCTCAGCGAAAGACGTGAAGGGAGAGACTCACTTCCTTCAGCAGATTTCGGAAAGTTAATTATTTCAACCTCCTTTCCATCAAATTATTGCTGGAACTTCTAACACAACATACATATAGTACTTTATGGGGGGGGGGGGGGGGGGGGGAAGCCCAGAACTAAGTTATTGCATACGAGAAGCCTAAAGTGCACCCAGCAAAGCTC